TAAACTTACTTAGAAAAGTAAGGAGCTAAGCAACATATTAAATTTCAAATGTTAATCTCACTATTTTAATCATTTGTATTAAATTTCAAATGGGAAACTAAGGTTCACTCAATATGTGCATAAATATAACATCATATTAATTTATAAAAATAAAATAAAGCACCTAATTTTTCAGAACTTTAGTCTGGAACGGCCCTAGAACGGCTCGTTCTACTTGCAGCACGGGTTGTTTTGTTTTCAAAACGACCCGTTCTACAAGCAAAATGGGTCGTTCTAGATTCAAAATTCGCCCAGCAACAACGAAATAAGAGACATGAAAAGAGAATGTTACCTCGATATTGTATTCTTCCAAGAAAATGAGAAGCTGCACACTTTAATGAGAGCCCGAGAGAGTAAAGAGAAGAATATATGTACTATTGAAGCCAAAGATTAGAGAATGGAGCTAGTGGGAGAATGGGAGCGTAGATTGTAGATTAAATCTCTTATGCTACTTTTAAAATCGGCTCTTCAATAGCCGATTTTAAAAGTGTTACTTTTAAAATCGGTTATTTAAGAACCGATTTTAAAAACTATATACAAAGCGGTTGTTAATAGCCGATTTTAAAAGTATCACTTTTAAAATCGGCTATTAGATAGCTGATTTTAAAAGTAGCACTTTTAAAATCGGCTATTGGATAGCTGATTTTAAAAGTATCACTTTTAAAATCGGCTATTAGATAGCTGATTTTAAAAGTAGCACTTTTAAAATCGGCTATTGGATAGCTGATTTTAAAAGTATCACTTTTAAAATCGGCTCTTCAAGAACCGATTTTAAAAGTAGCGTCAGAGACTTTTAAAATCGGTCATAAGGTAGCCGATTTTAAAAGTAATGCCATTATTTACAAAATTGTCATCGCGTCACTTTTAAAATCAACTACCTTATGACCGATTTTAAAACCCCGATTTTAAAAGTCATTTTTGTACTAGTGTTATAATATTACATATGTTTTAAGAATGGTAAAGACTAAAATACACAAATGTACTAGCTAAGCCACATAGTTTATAAATTAAGTTCATGGAGTTACTTAACATAATTTGTGTTGCTGCATTTATTATGAATTTCTAGGATGAATACAAGTCATTGACCCAGCTACACGCAAGATTCTAATGTTTACTTGCTTTTACGAAAATCTTTCGAGCTAACAACACTAATAGTACCGCTAACAGAATTAATCTTTCATGTGTTTCACGAGTCATGACTCTACAAAGTACAAAGGAGGCAAGCTGGCAACCTACCAAATTTCTTATTATTTTTCGAGTTGTTGTTCAACGTATGTATAGAATGAATTTTGTAAAAAAACACAAATAATATGAGAAATATTCCCTACTTCAATACTTGGTGTCCCTTTGAATATTATGGGGAAGTTATTATATGATTCAATATGTTGGGTAGAGAGATAAATACTTTGAATAGAAATGAAGTATGGATTTAGTTAGCAGAAAAAGACTTTGGCAACTGTGAAACATAACGGTTGAATCAGAGCATTTTGTACTCTCCTCATGAATTATTGGTCTAAGTTCGTTGCATAAACATATTTGTGTCATATGAATATGGAAGGAAAACAAACTAACATTATCGTCCACGACAAACTTGATAACATCATCAAGCAATCAACAAGGTGTAATGTTGCCAAAAGTAGCTTGTGTACCCAATTCCAAGGAGATTGTTGCTTGCCATTTTGCTATCTTCTAACTTGGTCTTTCAACTTTTGGTTTGTTTTCGTGAATAATAAATGGACATAAAAACTTCAATCACATGTCATAGCATTTCGGGAAATAGATCCCCTAACTTTATCGAGGGAAAGTTAGGGTAACTTAACACATTTAAACCGTTGGATTTGTAATAATAGATCAGATTGTGACACGTGTACATTTAACTCAAAATATATTTTGTACACGTGTCACAATCTGATCTATTATTACAAATCCAACAGTTTAAATGTGTTAAGTTACCATAATTTTTATATCTCAAAGTCAGAGGATCCGAATTTGTTAGACAAAGTAATTAGATGAGACTCGGATTAAATATCACTCAATAAATATGTTACAAATTCCTGTTATTGTTCCAATCTTCTAATTGTTGTCCCCATGCTGAACTTAGAATTCCATGAAAGTAAAGTTAAACAAAACACATTATTAATAATAAAGGGAAAAACACATGTTAGAAATGAAAACTATTTTCCAGGGTTTATGGGTTCCCATGCAAAGAAACATGGCATGCTTCATTTCTCTCTCTATTTTGCTATGGTCTCTTTGTAAAAAAAAAAAAAAACCTTCTATTTTGCTATAACTTTTTCTCCCATTTAAAGCGGTGACATCTTCTATAAATTGGGTAATTTTTCTTATTTTAAGAATCTTTATTTATTGGTCTAACATTCTAATCTTAGAAAAAGAAACAATTTTTTAAAATAAATTTAATATTTTTAATTATAAATAATATTTTTTTTTATACGAGAACAATATCTTAAAGATTTGAAATTAAAAATTTGAAAAATACTCTCAAACAAGTGTAGATTGAAATCTAACAAATATAGATTAACTCCATGATACGAACTTCATGAATGATAACATTTTCAATTTTCCATTTTATAGTTCAAGGATTCAAGGTATTCTGTTAGCTAACAATGTAAGAATGAAATATGTTTCCATAGTTACCAATATATGGTCTTCATTTTTCTATAGATAATAGAGGAAATTTTTAAATTTGAATATAAAATCTTTCTGCTTTCACTAATAAATAGATGGATTTGGATGTTTATGGAGTGAACCAATTAGAGACAAAATATATTCTTTAATGATAATTTTAGAATGTCATTATATTGAATGCATTCATGTATATACATGACATATTGAATCCAAATCCTTCAGATTTAGTCAGTTAAACAAAAGCAAGTATTTAGTCAGCAAGATTTCTTGTCCATTAATGTCTCTCTACCTTAAGCCATTTTATGCATTGTAATGGTCAAATAAACAGATAAGTAAAATATTATAAGGGGGGCAATTTTAAATAAGCATCGTTTGTTTAGTTATATAAGCACAAGCGGGTAAAAGAATATTTGCCTTTGACCATCTACACCCAGTTGTGCACGCTATAGTTATGATTCCTAATACTTTTAAATTCATATCATCATAATAGGACAATTGTGATCTTAAGTGGAAAGATTAATATAGACAATTTAGTATTACCATGCATGTGTTACTATGTTATTGTTCCGGCCAAAGGGTGGATTAGGGTTTTTTCCTAGATCGTGCCTTAGAGTCAGAGCATTTAAAAGTGTAATCTACCTTCTCAACTCTAGGGTTTTGGGTTTTATGATATGTCGTTCATGGGCCTCTTGGGCCCCGAGAATGAAGAGATTTTCCTAACCGTTCTTATCACTAGGACGCAGGGTTAGCGTGGCTGAGTCTAGTCGGTTTATGACCGACTGGTTCCATACGGAGGGGCCAGTCGGGTTACGACCGACTAGGTCCATACCGAGGGTCCAGTCGGGTCAATACCAGGTAACAAGAGGAATCGAGTTTGCAGGTCGAGTCGGACTAATGACCGACCATGTCTGTGCTGAGCCTTTGGTTGGGTTAATGCCAAGTGGAAGATCATTGTCGCCCTATTGCCGAATAGAAGACCAGGTCGGATTGCTGCCTGGACGGCACACTTGCCTTCCAGCCTTGAGCCTATGAGGCGTAAAGGCTAAAGTAATTGCTCCCTTCGGATGATCTCGGTAATAGGCCGACATTGCCTATCGGGAAAAAGCCGAGACAGTACACTTGCCTTCCAGCCTTGAGCCTACGAGGCGAACAAGGCTAAAGTAACTGCTCCCTTCGAACGATCTCGGCAATAAGCCGACATTGCCTATCGGGAAAAAGCCGAGACAGTACACTTGCCTTCCAGCCTTGAGCCTATGAGGCGAAAAAGGCTAAAGTAACTGCTCCCTTCGAATGCTCTCGGCAATAGGCCGAGATCGCCTATCGGGAATGAACCAAGGCAGGATATCGCGTAGCACCATGATTCCCTAAAAGCTGATAAGACGTGTCTCTTCACCTTACTCGAGGGGGGACGCGTATTTATTGCAGAGTTGCAGGGGTGCGAATGATGATTGTGCCACGTGGCGGCGCCTATTACTAAAGTTAATGCAGTGGGTCCCATTTTTCCTTTAGGTTAAAGGTCGCAACGTTCTACACGCGTTGTGACCCTTGGTTGTTTCCTCCACGTGCGTCCCTTGGCCTCTTTATAAATAGGGGCTGCCTTTATTTTTTCTAACTCATTTGCCTTTCCCTCCGCTCGCATTATTTTCTCCGGCGATATTTCCCCCCTTTTTTCTTCATTTCCTCCCGGTGGTTCGTGGCGGACTTGTGGTGTTTAGAGAGGAAAAGTGGTGTTTATGTGACCTTAGGTACGCCTATTTATTGTGCTGTTTGGGCATCATTTTGGTTGCTTTGTGCATCTAGGTCTTTAGGAATCCATGGCTTTTCTAAATTACAAGGAAGTTTACAATTGGGTAAAAGATGATGTCTTGAAATGTGATTCTTGTATAAACTCCTGGGTTGCTATGGAAAGTTTCAATAGTGAGCATGTAGTTGCCCGTGGTATTGATAACATCCTTGCTTGTGAACCTTGTGTAGATGGTGAGCCCGTGTGCATAAGTTCGTCTTCTGAGCGTTTTACATTTTGTTATGTTACCCTTATTTTGAAGCTTAAGGTAAGGTGGCCTTTGACCGAGTGCGAGAAAGAGGTCCTTAGGGCCTTGAATGTCGCCCCAACTCAATTTCAGCCATATAGTTGGGCCTTTGTCAGGGGTTTTGAAATCCTGTGTTCTGGACTCGGAATAACGCCGACCTCGAGTAAATTTTTTTATTTTTTTGAAGGCCGAATATCCAAACGGGGTAGTTGGGTGTCCGTTAGTAGTGTCTCGGGGCGGGGGTTTGTGAAGACTCAAGATAAAAGTCATGCTTAGATCCTAACATTAGCTAAGGTAGGTAGTACAGTATTCCCTTCTCTACCTTGTTCAGTGCTCAGGCATTTAGTAACCTTAAACTAGACAGAGAGAATGTTCTTGCTCTCAATTTTTCTTTTTTCCATTTTACCAGGTAGAAATGATTATAAGCTCTTCAACTTGCATAAATATGAAGCAATCTAATTGTAGTTAAACTGGATAAACTAAAGCATGAAACATACAGGCGTCTCTCCTCCTCTAGCTGCTGTTTCCTTTCTCGCTCCAATTCCTCTTCATAACGCCTCTGCTTTAATCGCTGCCGCCCTTCAGACATGGATTTCAGTGACAACTGTTTCTTCTTTTCAACAAGCTATCAACAGAGAACACCCAAAAAAATCATTGTTTACTTCGTAAGGGACAGAGAAGATTGCACAAAGTAATGATTTGGATATCAAAGATCAGAAACAAAATATGGCTAAAAGCAAAAAGATTACAAGTACATTTAAAGGGTGGGAAGACAGCAAGTTGAATACTTCAATCTAATGATGTTATTAGATAAAAACTGACCTGGTCTGGGGTGAGGATGTCATCAGGGATGTTTATAAGAGAATACTTCTCACTAGCATTAGGGCTGGCCTTTTCAGTTTCAGCTTGATCATTCTTTGGTTCACCTTTTGCTTTCCTTAAGGATTGCATAACTTTAATGCGGGCAGATTCTATCTCCTGCCTAGAGACATAACCAGTCTCTGCTAGGAAAGATGGAATTTCACTATCTTCAACTTGTTCAAGCTGTTTTAAAAGAAATTCCAAACCATGCAATTCATTTTCCAATTCGTTTATTCTAGATGACCTCTTTGCCTCGGCCATTTCTCGTAACCTTTGACCTTGTTTCTCTCTTATTGCTGCCTTTCTAGCAATCTCTTCCTCAGAAGGAGGCTCCTCAGTTGGGGGTGGAACCCAAGGGAGCTGCCAACATCTGGCTTTCTCTTCAGCCTCCTTAGCACCTTTCTGACAGACAAAGAAATAAAATCTTAGGAACCATGCGTGAACTATTAAAAAGAAGAACCTTTTCTTACCTGAAACAACCGAGCTTCAGAAGCATAGTCCAGTGCAATATAACAGTGTTCCATTTTCAGGTCTTCAACCTTTTCCCATGTAAATCTAGACCTGCATTGATAATTTAAAGAGAAAAAAAGTAAACCAAAGAAATACTATGCATTTAGCAGTCAGATTGATGGTAGCAGACCCAGGATGATTTTATACTCACATATGATAAGGATATTTAAGTGAAAGAAGTTGCTTTAAATAATCAGTCACATGGAATCCACCAATATTAGTACGGCAGCATCCTTTATAAATAGGCTCTCCATCTACAAACTGGAAATATAAAAAAAAATGATTACAAAGAATTAGAACACTTTATACACTTGAAGGTTATCTAAATCCTATTGGCAGAACTGACCATTGAATTTACTTAATTATTTTTCCCCATAGGAGATCCTCCACAAAGAAAGTAGGAACACATCACTTTCAACAAGTCACAGCCTCTTTTTACAAGGACAGATGTAAAATTGTGTTTAGTAGCCCTCTTTTTAAATTTATAAGTTATTTTAGAAGAGGTTGGTAAGGAGATTCTTTTATATTAGTATTGGTGATTATTGATTCCCTAAACATCTTGAAAATAATTATGCAGATCAACACTATTATTGGTGAAAGAGTTACGAAGTCTGCTACAGCAGCACAACACAGAAAATGGGTATGCTCATGGTTGTCAATCTCTAGTGACAACTCGTAAACTCGAGTTTACGAGTTTACAAGAGCTTACCTGTACAACTCGGAGGTAAACTCGTTTTTTAGTGAACTCGGAGCAATCTCGGTAAACTCGTGTAAACTCGCGAGACTACCTCCGATATTAAGAGTTCACCATTTTTTTTTTTCACTTACACAAAACGCACTTTTTGTGTTGTGGGTTAGGGCACTTTGTCTCCTTTTCTCCTCTAACCTCCGCAGCGCCTCTTCCACGACTCTTTTCTCTTCTCCACGCCTCACCTCAGCTCCTGACCTCCGTTCCTCACCTCCGCGCCTCAACCACCTCCTCTGCGCGACACCACCTCCGCGCGCGACACCTCCTCTGCGCGACACACCTCCGCGCGCGACACACCTCCACGCGGGACACACCTCCTCTGCGTGCGACACACCTCCTCCGCGCACACCACCTCCGCGCGCAACACCTCCTCCGCGCGACACCACCGCTCCTCACCTCCGTTCCTCCGCGCGCCTCGCCACCGCGAGCGCAACACCTCCTCCGCGCCGCACCACTGCTCCTCACCTCCGTTACTCATGTGATGTCTTAGTTTTTTATTTGTCTATTTTTAAGAACTTGTGTTTTGTCATTTGTGTGAACTTTTGATCTTAAATTTGTGTTAAGAACATTTATTATTAATGTAATTTGCTATTTGGGAGTTAAAATATTCAATTATTATGTTATTTTTATTTATTTATTTATTT